AGATCTCTGTGTGTCTGAAGCTAGATATGCAGGGTAATAAGAGTGTCATATGAGCGAACAACAGCTTCGTGCCATTGCTTTATCTACCATTGAAAACAAATACCCTAGAGACACATGGTTACATGTCCACACAGATAGATCAATTTCTAACGATGAAAACGGAGCGGGAGCCGGTGTGCGTTGTGATCATTTTTCATTATATATATACCAACAGGTGCTCATTCCACTCATCACGATAGCGAAATCGAGGCTATTTATATCACATTAAAGCAACTGGCTATCCGCCCCTCGTCATTCTGCAGAGCGGTTATTTTGTCATACTCCTGTCTGCTCTTCAGTCTCTTGAAAATAGACGATACACAGATAATACCTACATAGTGGAGCGCAGAGAGCTCTCAACGTCAATATCTGTTTCTTTCCAGTGAATCCTAGCTCACTGCGGGATTCCTGGGAACGAAGCTGCCGACGTTTTGGCCAAAACGGGTGCAAGGATCCCCCAGAGACCTTTGTAAAGCTTCTCATTTCATTCAGTCAAACTCATGATAAAAAGAAGACGTGCCTCCAGGACAAAGAAGAGAGCACTGTGTGACTCTGATGGTAAGTCATAGGCCTCACTGCTTGAGGATACACAGTTGATCCCAGATTTTCCTACAAGTGCAGCTGTGGCACGTTTCCGCTTTATTACAGGCCATGACTGTTTGCCCGTATACTTTAATTGGCTTGGGCTTTGTGGCTCTCCCTTATATCCTCTCTGCGGACAACATCAAATTTTTATGCTACTCATCTTGACTCGTGCTCTGCACTTGTGTTTTTAAACTGTAAAGTTCAGCAATACTGGAAGGCTAGAGAACTAATGGCGTCCATAGCCAATCTTCTGGGCATTTGTAATAAATAAATAAATGACTTAATCTAAAAAATAAAAATTCAAAAGCCGCACTGACTGTTTAATAATTATTTAGAATTAAATGTTTCAAGGTATTCTTTTTTATTTCATATATAACCTAACCTTCAAAAATATTTATTAGCAATAAGACCTAACATTGTGCTTTTATTTTATTTATTATATTATTTTTTAATCTCCACTTCACAGACACACATGAAAACAAATGTACTATTTTCTTAAAAAATCCCATGATCAGCCTAATAAATAACAATTTTTCAACTTTTTTATACTTTTTAGCATGTTGGGAAAAGTTGGAAGTGGCGGGCGAATTTTTTTTCCAGATGGTGGCATTCTTCCCAAACAGGCTGGCTACCCCTGATTTAGGGAAGATGAACAATAAAATTATTTTAAAGACTTACAATGATAGTTAAAAAATTACAATAAGAAAACGGCAGTTGGTGGAAAATTCTTATCATCCAGCTAAAAAAAAAAAAAAAAAAAAAAAAAAAAAAAAAAAAAAAAAAAAAAAAAAAAAAAAAAAAAAAAAAAAAAAAAAAAAAAAAAAACAAAAAAAAAAAAAAAAAAACCAAAAGTTCGATTAAGCGATTATTCAAAATAAAATCTCAAACAAGATCGAAGAATTATGCGGTAAACTTACGTTTAGCAAAACTGTAAATGTCACAAAAGTTAGAAAATTTAGTACGAAAACAGATGGCACTCTGCGCTGAAAAACTCTTTCTCTGAAAAGGAGTCTAAAAAAAAAAAAATAAATAAAGTGAAGCGGGAATAGTGGGATTGTTTCGATAGGCAGTGTCCTCAATGCGTCCCACAGAAAGAAGTCACAAGGACTCAGATCGGGAGAATATGGAGGCCAAGCAATCCCTGTGTCAGTAAATTGCGGATAATCTAACGCAATTACTCTATTCTCAAAGTCACTGAACACTGGTAGTTCGGTCCGAGGTTCAAATCCCGGGCTGGCTGCATGGGCGTTTTCGTGGTTTTCCCCATGTGTAACGTGTATACGAGCCAGTTTACCTTAGAAAGTCCTCCACGAAGGCATCCCTCCCCTTAGCAGATAGCCCTCGAGGGCTTTACCATAATCAAACACTATTCTCAAAAAGTCATGAAGAAAGCGAAAAAAATTTATCTGTTCGATGTTGTCGAGCTCATCTTGCATAAACCAATCGATACCTGGTCGATCCTCCAACGCTAGTTGAGTGCTGACAAACTATTCCAAAATCGTAACGTAACGTAACGTTCAGTGGTTATCGTTTCTCCTACGAAAAGGGTCCCATAATGCCTCTGGTCCATACCGCAGCCCATGCAGTAACTTTAGGCGAATGCTGTGCTTTCTCTTCACACATATGAGGATTTTCGGAACCCCAAAATCTCCAGATGCACATTCTCTCAACTTCGATGCACATTTTAAAGGCTATTGATAGGTCATTGCGATTACAGCGCCCTCTGCTAACGATTTTCGTAACTAAATTTTCTAAACTTTTGTACACCATTTTTACAGTTTTGCTAATAAACGTACAGTTTACCGCATTATTCTATCGATCTTTGTTGCAGAGATATTTAATTTTGAAATCAGGGCTTATTCGCTGATCATCCTGTATATTGCTCATATCTTTCTGAACTTCTGCAGATTTGCCTAGAATTTTTATTTCATTTGCCCTATATATTTCGCTACCAAATTCTGAAAGAAGAAACACAGCTATATTTAGCACATGCGCAGCTAAATTTTATTTTCATTAAATGCTCGTGTCTAATAAAATATTCCTTGCTTCTGTTTCAAATTTCAATATAATATTTCTCTCAAATATTGTTACGCTTTCTGTAAGTTTCATTAAGTATAACTCATTTCTGCATGTTAAAAACAAAATACATGTGGGAAAAAATTTGGAATTTTTAAATGAAATTTCTATATTGCCTTTAATATATGCTTAATTTTACGAAACCGCATACCAATATTACATATAGCATGTAAAACATTTTGTTAGGCAAAGCGTGATTTCGCTAGCATAGCACACGTTGCTATTTTGTCCTTCCTGCTGTTAATCTTAGTTACTGATACGCCTTCTGGCCATTTATTAAAGTCTATCGCTGGTGTATGTTGCTGAGTAAGCCTGTTAGTTTTAAGTAGTCCAGCACTACTCTTTGCATTTAAATTATTGTTAAATTATTCTTTAGTTTCAACGCAAGTAGTCGGTGATATTATGAGCACGAAGTATCTGCATTTTTGTTTATTATATTATTTTAATAAACAAAAATGCAGATACTTTGTGCTCATAATATCATAATAAGAGTTTTAACCAAACCATAAATAAGAGTTTTAACCAAATAAAAGGTCAATTTAAGCACTTTCCCTGTGTTCTAGTTCTTACGCCTTTGCGAGAAGTCGCCTGGCTTATTACTAAGAACTTCTCTTTGTAAGATAGCTAAAAAAGCTCTATCCTACACCCTAACCGCAATCATAAATGACTTGTAAGTGTGAATTCAAACATACTATTTATATAGACACAGATACTTGTCAAGCATTTCTCTAGAAATTCGAAAAACTGTGTTAAATCCAAAGAGTCCGGTGACTTTTGGGAAAGAATATCGAAGAAACTTTTGTGGTAATATAACAAATAAGTAAGAGATTAAATTTTTAATTAGAAAATAACAAAAATGAGGATTACATTCATGTTATCCTTAATGTATTAAATGCAAGCATTCAATGGAATACCTAGGTATTTTATAGAATGTCTGGCATTTTTAGGTAAAGTTATGAAACAGAGAATTATGAAATACTTTCTTTAGGCACTGCATATAATACCTAGAAATTCTACTGAATGACAAATACTATTTAGGCAAAGTGAGAAAAAAGGCTATTACTTAAAAGACGTGCATTCCTCAAAAATTCAAATATCATTATAAAAAAAATGAAAGAGTGCCATTAAAAACATTTATTCAAAATATGTACAGAAAAGTAAAATTTGCACAAAATAAAATGTATGCCTTTCTTATTAAAAATGCTTTTTCATATAAAAATAAGAAATTAAAATTAATCTACTTGTTGCAACATGGTAGGCTTGAATGACATTTTAAGTTACACTTCATTACTTTTTTCAAGCAAAAATATTTCTTATTTAGGCATCTTGTTTTACACATAGACCTTAATGAATCCTTGTCCTCTTCCACTGGACTGAGCAAGTGCAGACTGGAGGAATTTCGTGATAAGGAATATCTTCAGCTCTAAGCACGTTCTTAGGGCATAAAGTGAATTGTGGTCTCGCATGTAGTAGTTCCAAGTCGGTAGAAACCGTCCTCTGTCACATTCATTGCAATTGCCAACATATTGAGCGAATTAACTCATCTCTTGTTAAGAATAGGAGTTTGCACAGTAGTTTTCAAAGGAGCAGTGGGAAATGTTTTCCGAATTCATTTTCATTTTTTTATGTATTTCATACTTTGCCGGTTTGCCATTTGGCATTTTGTGTAATGCCTAGGAAATGCGTGAAAAGGTAATCGTTTCATATATTGCCGACGAGTTTTCGGCATTCTATAAAATGCTTAGGTATTCTATAGGATGCCAGTTTTTATGCATTGCCGGTAGCATAAATTTATTCAAATTGTTATGTAATCAGACGTTTAATTTATAACTGTTCTAAAAGTGCTTAATTCGTCTCTCATCGTATAATATATCCATCAAGTCAAGCTTCATAAATCGGATGTGTTGTCTTTGTCCTTTCAAAAGGTTCTCGTTATTTTCTCAAAGATCATTCGGAAACGCATTTTTTTTTTAAATTTCTGTATAGATATAATAAAAGTGTGTATAAATTAAAAAAATATGATGAACTGTGTTCCTTTCAGCTAAAGATAGAGAAACTAGCTAACAGAAAAGTTTTCTTTAATTAAACGTTAGTTTTTAAATTCTGATTTAATTTAAATTTTCTGAATATAGAACCATTTACAATGCAAGTTCTCAAGTTATTTCGCAGTACGGTCTGCAGAGTATTTTTTTTTAATTATGTTTAGTTTCTGGAAACAGGAATTGAAGGGGCAGCGGTTTGTAATCACTGAACTGAATCACTCCCATTGACTTCGTAATTAATATTCCTTATTTTTTTAGGGTGCCACAGAAATGTCTGCAATACAGGAATGTGCATCCCTCTTTATCATGAACCCAGATACGAATGTGAATGCTCAGAAGGTTTCTATGGATCGAAGTGCGAGTATTTCAATCCGTGTTCACAGAGTCCTTGCCGAAACAGCGGCAAATGCTTGAATACTACTCATAATGAATACGTATGTGTTTGTGCTGATGATTACAGTGGCCCCAACTGTGGATCATACAATCCTTGCTTGAGAAAGAATCCTTGTCAGAATGGTGGTACGTGTGAAATGACAACAAATAACACTTACATATGCATCTGTGCTGAAGGATATTATGGCCGAAAATGTAAATATAGAGATCTGTGTTTGCCATCCCCATGTTTAAACGGGGGAACTTGTGAACATACGTCTGATACGACTTTGAATTGCATCTGCCCAACAGGATTTACAGGTAAATTCATAACTGATTCCTGAATTTAATAAATTTTGTGACTGAACACCTTATGAAAGCGAAAGTACCCATACCTAACAGACATATTTATACAAGGGGGTTCAAATATGACCAGACTGCTGCTGTTACAAACCACAACCTTTACCACACGGCACATGTACAGTGCTATGAGTCCTTGGATGAGTACTGCTACTACAACCCCCTTACCTCGCATGCAGATTAAACCTTGCTCTGTCGTTTCTTATAGTCTCCAGAGTGATGAGCGAACAAAGCAGCCTCGGAGCATGGAACAATGCACCGTAATTCAATTTCTCGGTTCGAGAAAACTTCCAGTCATCTGTAATTTAGCAGAAACTCCAGACACAGTATGGAAAAGCGTGTCTCTCATTTGCAAGGTGTAAGAGACAAACACTGATCGTGTGAATGCGATTATTCGAGAGAAGAAGTGCATTATAATGTACTTTCTCCCTCCTTTCTGTATGTCTTTGTGCTGTAATGGTGGCACACTCGGCGAGTACTCGAGAGGTCTAAGTTTGAGCCCCGGCGAGGGCGTTGCTCATTTTTCATGTATTTCTGCTTCAAAATAATCTAATAACTCTACAGAATCAGTATTAAATAATTTGAGTCGATGCTTTCAATCAGTGTGGTAATGTAGTAACGACTGTGAAAGAGTTTGCATAATGACAAGGTGCATACCCGACGGGTTGCACACACGTTGACACAAGAGAACAAAGTGAGTTAATCCTCTTCTACAGTGCTTTGAATTTGAAAATGATGCATTTGGGAAATCTATAGTGACTGTCATTGAAACGTGGGCCCACTAGTCCAATCCGAAGTCCCAGGCTTAAATCCCATTTGGAAGGAAGAGGCCGTCACTGTCAATGTTTGGGAAGGGATTCATAACCAACTGAAAAACTTCTAAGAAAAGGCTTCCAAAACGTTAGCAAAAATTTATCATATCTGGAGTTGAGTGCGTTTAAGAGTGAAATACTCTTTCTTTCGTAATAAAGATCTTGGTAAAAAAAAAAAGTCAGTCTCGTTCATATTTGAACCACCTAGTATATTATGGACTTACAGAGAAATTTCAGTCAAAGGAAGTTGCACTTTTTTTCAAATTTCCAATATTTTAATAAGAATATAATTCCATATTTTAATAAGAGAGTAAACCTTTATTGTCACTAATTAAAACTATTAAAAACTGAGTCAAATCAGATTTGATTGCATTTTTGTTGCATAGCATCTCATGTTCTTCGAAATCATTTCAGTTGTAGTCATCGTTGTTCTTTTTAAACATTAAAGTATTTGACCATGTATAATATTATCTTAAAAGGATGGGATCTGCATAGTGCGTTTTGAAAGTGATTGGCATAATTGACTAGAATTCCTTCTGAGTAACTTCTAATTTTTCAGGTTCTTTATGTGGAGAGGAGGTAGACGAGTGTGCGTCGAATCCTTGCTCAACAGGATCCACCTGCACCAGCCACAAAGGAAACTTTACATGCATCTGCCCATCAGGTTTTTCTGGGCAAAAGTGCGACATAGCAGGTACATTTAAATTAAAACATTTTTAATAGTTTATATTAAAACTAGTTTATAGTAAAACATTTATTAATAGTTTATATTAAAACTAGTTTATAATAAAACATTCATTTCCTTCAGTAAATAGATTCCACACAAATAAGAAAATTTTCTTACTTTTAGAATGCTGTTTAACAAGTTTCTAGACTCAAAATAAAATTCATATTCGTTCCTTCCACAATTTGGAATTTTAAGCATATAGCATGTTCTTTAAAAATAAATATTTAGCGAAAAGGCGAGCATCATTTCTAAATGCTGGAAACTCTTTTATGGTTCATTCAAAAAAGACGCAATTAGTCTCATCAGTCTATAAGTCGATCAAGTTTAAGTTTAAGTATAAATTTCTCGAAAAATTTCGCATCTTCAATATTTTAATGTATAAAAGCAACCTGACAGCTATAGAGCAGAAAACGAATGTTTGCATGTTTTTGAATCAGAAAAAAGACAGCCCACCAGCGGCCGAGCGGTAACCGACACACGTAAGTCACTGAACACTGGTATTTCGGTCCGAGGTTCAAATCCCGCGAACGGGCTGGCTGCATGGGCGTTTTCGTGGTTTTACCCATGTGTAACGTGTAAACGAGCCAGTTTCCCTTAGAAAGTCCTCCACGAAGGCATCCCTCCCCTTAGGCAGATAGCCCTAGTGTGCTTTGCCATAATTAATTACACACACACACACACACACACCAGCAAAAAGACATGTATTCGCTATCACTTTACAATTAAGCAAAGTAAATGATGATTCTTAGGTAACGTTATGTAATATTTGGCTTATCGTGACAAATATTCTTAAAAACAATATAAATTTTATGAAATTCAATAACAGTTTCTTGCATCTATGATTTACAACAGGACTTTTTGTTGTTGTTTAATTCAAAATCAAGTTATGATCACAACCCAAATGGTGCTTGTACAATTTATATGAAATATTTTGCAGCTCAGTGTCCTCCAGATCGTACAGATACTGAAAAGGGATTGTTCTACTGGAATGCTACGAAACACAGTAGCAAGGCAATAGTGAAATGTCCCTTCGGAGCACTGGATTCAACAATGGAAGATAAGATCGCATATCGGTTCTGCTTTCTCAACAACGGATCTGCTGTTTGGGGTCCCGTAAACGCGTCTCAATGTAAGGGAAAAGTAAGTTATGTAACTTAAAATACTTCGAACATCTGCTTTCATATATCTGGCAGATGGTATTTGGCGATTCAATGTCGTACCTGAGTTTAACTCATAGTTTTCCCAATGTCGATTATTTGCTCAATCATTTGCAGTCATTTGTGTACTTTATCTAAATGTTGAGGTTAGTTACGAACCACCTGTTTGGATTTTTTTAAAAATATATTTCGGAAATGTTTTTTTAAGCATTAGTGTATTTAAAAATTAATTGTTGTAAGTTTGTTTCTTTCTTAGTGTATTTACTTTTCGTTCAGTTATTTATTATTATAGAAGCTTTAGCATTTATCCTAGCAATAGTCAGGACTTAAGAGAGAAGGGCTAGTTCATAGAGCTTTCCCCCCGAAACAGAAAGTGAATAGCTGGCACAGGCTGCATTTCGTGCAATTCGCAGCAAAGAAATAAACTTTTAAATTTGAAAAAAACCGACTTAAAAAAAGCTAAGCGTGAAAAAAGTAGCTTTAATTTAGAAGAGAAGATGTTATTACTGTAAGCATTTATAACGTTTAAAAAGTTAATAATAACTATTTATCGATCTTAAAATAATAGATGAAATACGCTACGTTTTCGTAAAAGTTGTAGGCCTTTATTCCCCTGTTCATTTATTATTAAATCATGAAGGGGGAAAACCTATGGCATTCATTTTCTTTTCTTCATCTGCATACTAAGTGAAGATAACTATGATAACAGCTTTTTAAAGGTAGGCCAAAAAAAGAAAACCTCTTAGTTTGGCGTAGTTTTGAATATACATATCATTTCTTTTTTCACAGCTAAAGAAGAAGTACTTAGTGAGTCCCAAAATTGAGGGTACACTTAATGCTAACTTAATTTGTAGGTTATTAAGAGTAGAAATCATCGTATGGTGTGGCGCAAGAAGAAATGAGCTTTAGATCCAAGAAACACAATTCCAACTGTGAAGCATTGAGGTGGTTCAGTAATGGTTTGGGGCTGTATGGCATCATTGGGAGTTGGAAAGCTAGTGTTTATTGATGGAATAATGGATAAAATGGGTTATCTTAATATATTGAAAAATAACTTGAAGGACAGTGCTATTCAATTGAGACTAGGATCAAAATTCACATTTCAACAGGATAATGATCCAAAACATACAGAAAATACTGTCCCCCTCAGGGGGCTCACTCTTGTGAGTACGGGTGTGGCAATCCCGAGGTACCCTAGCCCTTCAGGGGATCATCTTCTTGGATGAGACGGGTGTCACGATCCTGGAGCCCCAGTGATCTATCCTCTTTTCCTGTCTCCCTCTTCCTCTGAGTTGAAATATTTTTCCCTTCCCTTCTGTCCCTTGTGGTTTCTCCTCTTCGGAGTTTGGGGCTCGTCACGAGAAACTGGAGCAGCCCTTGTGTCTAGTTTTCGAGTGGCGAGAAAACTGCCCACGTGTTTGCCGTGCGTGGAGACCCGTGTCGCTGGATAGGAGGGTCCTGGTAATTGAGGGGCGAGGTACTGTCCCCAACACACTGCTTTGGCCTCTGCTTCAGCTAAACGGGAGGCACCTTAGTCGTCCTCACGGGTGTCAATCGGCTGGTCACTAGTCCTTGTGTCAGTGGCTTGGGGTCAAGTCAGACCATAAAAGTTTCTAGGAACATTTCATATGCCGAAGCCAGAAGACAAGTTCAAAGCACACAGCCTCAATCAAACAAATCATATGCCAATGCCGCGAAATCAATCCGCACTATAGCCACCCAAACTTCCATAAGTACACAGACTCCAAATAAAACCCAGCAATCTGCAAACAAGAAAAATGAAAATGCAACACATGTCGTACAAAATAAAGAAATAGTTATTCAAAGCAAACCAAAACATATCCCTCCAAAACCAATTAACAAAAATAGAAGTCCCAGCAATAGTTCTGTAAATGAAACGATTTCTGAATCCGCAGATTCAGATAGTATGGACGTGGAAGACGGTCTAGAAGTTCCCGAACATCTGCTTCCGCGCAAAACTAAAAAGGAACACAGAAAGAACAAACATCAAACATAATGGCCACCCTCGTCTCATGGAACTGTCGCGGTTTCCACCGAAATTTGCTTGACATCAAAGCTATGATCAATGCGTATCATCCTGTGTGCTTGGCAATACAAGAGACAAATTTGAAACCAGATCAACATGCAAAACTTCGGAGGTTTTCTCTCGTCAGGAAGGATAACCTTGCAGGTGAACGTGCCAGTGGAGGTGTATGTCTCCTCACCTCACTGGACTATCCCTCAAGTTCCTTTCCCTTGAGGACATCTCTTCAAGTTGTCGCTGTACAAGTAAATTTTCATATTGTAGTTTCAGTCGTTTCTCTTTATTTGCCTCCTAATGAACACATTGATCAGCGGGATTTAAATGACCTTGTGGCTCAGCTGCCTGAGCCTTTTATCATAATGGGTGATTTTAACGGCCATAGTCCGTTGTGGGGAAGCAAAGACAACAATTCACGAGGAAGACAAATTGAGCAGGTAATTGAAGACCATTGCCTTTGTCTCCTGAATAATGGGCAGGACACTTACTTCCATGAACCTACAAGGACATTCCACGCTCTTGATCTAGCCATCTTGTTCACCATCTCTATTGCCATTTTGCGATTTCATTGTCAGAAGTGATCTGTACAACCATTCTTATCATTATCCCATTCTTTTATCTCTTGCACGAAGAGGAGCGAACCCCATGTCGAGACTCCCTCGGTTTATACTGGATAGGGCAGACTGGGAACTCTTCTCTTCCTCTGCAGATCTCACACAGAAAATGGTAGATGTGCTTATCGATGATGCAGTGGAGCAGTTACAACTGCTATTACTCAGGCAGCTATGCTCTCCATTCCTAGAACATCAGGAAAAATAATAAAATATTCGAAACCGTGGTGGAATCGTGACTGTCATGAAGCACTGAAAAAACAGAAAGTGCATGGGGATATTTTCGTAGATATCCTACTCTGCGAAACCTCATAGCATTTAAAAGATCCAAAGCAAATGCACGAAAAGTAAGAAGGCAGAGCCAAAGAAATTCTTGGATTTCATATGTGTCATCAATAACATCTTCTACGCCTAGTAAGGCGGTTTGGGAAAGAGTTCGAAAAGCATGCGGAATATATAAAGACTTTCCTTTTTGGAAAAAGATGGCCGAGTGATTAGCTCCATAGAAGAAATTGCAAATACTATAGGTGAGACATTTGCTACCGTTTCTTCCAGCAGAAACTATTCACCTGCATTTCTCACTATCAAGCAGCACTCTGAAATAAATCCCATCGCATTCCAACTCTTCCAAATCTGAGCCTTACAATAGAGACTGCATTTACTATGCTGGAATTAAAGAGAGCTTTATTGCAGACACATAGGTCTTCTCCGGGTTTTGATGGTGTAAATTATGAAATGCTAAAAGCATCTGTCCTATAAATCCTGAAAGTCACTGAAAGCCCTTCTCACTCTTTACAATAGAGTGTGGAAGGAGCGTACTTTTCCCAGTGCATGGAGGAGAGCTGTTGTAATTCCTATTGCCAAGCCAGGGAAAGACCCAAGGAATCCCTCGAACTATCGGCCAATTGCTCTTACCAGTTGTGTTTGCAAACTGTTTGAAAAGATGGTAAACAGCCGCCTAGTCTACTTCTTGGAAAAGAATAATATTATATCGCCTTATCAAAGCGGTTTTCGAAAGGGGAGAACAACCGTAGATAACATGCTCCTCTTAGAGACATCCATTCGAAAAGCTTTTGTAAGAAGAAATCACCTTGTCTCAATTTTCTTTGATATAGAGAAAGCTTATGATAAGGCATGGAGATACGGTATACTTCGCGATCTTCACGAGAGTGGCTTGCGCGGCAACCTACCAATTTTCATTCAGAATTTCTTGAACGCTAGAACTTTTCAAGTAAGAATTGGCTCTGTTTTGTCAGATGTTTTTGAACAGGAAGAGGGTGTGCCTCAAGGCTGTGTGCTTAGTGTAACCCTGTTTAGTTTAAAATAAACTCTGTATTAAAAGCACTTCCTCCTACCATCTTGGGATCTCTATATGTTGATGATCTGCAGATTAGCTGTCGAGGGGCAGTCATGAGATACGTAGAGAGGCAACTGCAGATGGCTCTGAATAAGATCCAAGAATGGTCAGACAATCAGGGATTTACTTTTTCGAAACAGAAAACATTGTGCGTGCACTTTTGCAGGAAGCGCGGTCTCCATCCTGAACCTGAGTTATATCTAAATGGCACAATTATTCCAGTTGCGGCCTGAAGTAAAATTTTCTAGGGAGTGACGTTTCGATCGAAAATTGACTTTCTTTTCTCATGTTTTAAACCTGAGAAAGAAGTGTCTAAAAACTCTAAATATTTTAAAAGTGTTGGCGAACACCTCCATGGGGTGCAGAGCGTTGCTCTATGCTTCGCATTTACAGAGCGCTTGTCCGCTCTAAACTGGACTATGGCTCAGTTGTTTACAGATCAGCTCGGTCAACAGTATTGTTAAAACTGGATCCTGTTCACCATCAAGCTCTGCGGATTTGTTCAGGAGCTTTCAGAACTTCTCCTGTCCAGAGCCTGTATGTTGACTCTAACGAACCATCCTCTTTATCTGAGGCGTTGAGCAATTGTCCCTTTTGCAATATTTTAATATTATATCGACAACCTGAACATCCTAATAAGCTGTGCTTACTTGATAATGCGTGTAACACTTTATTTGAAACACGTCCATCCTGTGTTCCTACCTTTCCTTTAAGAGTTCGCCCTGTCATTGTTGAGGAACTTTCTGTCTCTGATATGCACCCGCAAGCAGTGCAGATAACTTTGAAATCCCACCTTGGGAAAATTGCACGGATTCAGCTTCTTGATGTTTTCAATCATCACGTGAAGGCAAGCACCTAACGAAGATTGTTTACAGACCAACTCTTCGCTGAGCACAGGCACAAATATAGCAGTTATTCATCCGATATATATACAGATGGATCTAAGTCAAATGATCATGTCGGGATGGCATTTG